ACGGGCGATGAAATGATGATTCGAGAAAGCTAGGAGTCCATTGGGTGGAATTAGAAATCAAACAAAGTTAAATATGACCATAATATATTCACAAATCAAATTCCAATCGCATAAAGATTTTTCAAATTTTCAGCTGGATATTAAAGTCCACTTTTGACCCAGTAAACATCAGAATTTGGAAAAAAAGCTACTTCTAGAAAAATTATAGCCCTTTGTGTTAACTTTACAACTCACTTTGAATTGTCTTAATTGGACATCAGGAGAGAAAGTTATGGTCAAAATACTGAAAGTAGTCGCACAGAATATTCTAGCTGAAAATTTAGTTTCCTTATTCTGTTCAACCTCTTTTGGAAACAACTTGGCACACGATTTTAAGCCCTAGCCTAGACAAAGAATGCCTATCATCATCCTCACATCAATTTTCTTTAGTTTTTGGCTCAAGGATTCGATGAAGAACTAAAACCCTTGGTAAAGTTTGGAAGGAACTCATTGGATTTGAAGAAATCACATCTACTGCTCATGTAATTTGGTATTTTATTGTTAAACAATTCTAGATATTAGACTTTCTCCTTATGAATTGATTTTAAAATTAGTTTAATTTTTATTAGATCTTTCATAGATTCAATACTATTTTTCTATTGTTTGATCGAAATATTTATTGAGTTACAATTTCATTCATGTTATTGGTGGGTTATTTATGATCTTTTATTTGAAGTATATAGTTACATTTGATCTTACTCCAATAGCAATTGTGGGAATGTGTTAGAAAGTCTTAAATCTTAGAATTACAATTGGAACTAAAGTGATCTTTATTGTTAAATCTTTCGATTAGAGAGTTGGGATGAAAATCTCTAATCGAATAATAATACATGAATTGTTGATGTTGATCGAAAACCAACCCAATTAAGGGAATTCCAATGCTTCACTAATTTCACATATTAATATTTAAATTTCATTTCAAATTGATAAACTAGTTTCACATAATTCTGGAAAACGCTAAGCTTCTAATCCTTTGAGCATTTCCTATCTCCCTGTGAAATCGACACCCCAAGGCTATATTATAATCACTACGTTATACTTTGGGTGTAATCAGCGACGCTCATATTAGGGTTGGAGATTCTCTTCCAGCGTCGACACCACCTACGTTGAGAGAAAAGAGGGATTAGGAAGAAGAGTGTTGCCCATACTATCACTTTGTGTGTTTAGAGAGAGAGAAGAGAGACGGGGAAATGGGTTTGAAATTAGAGTTTGAAATTGGTGGATATATTTATTTATTAATACTTGATTTATGAACAATAAAACTTGACCCCTGATTTTTGTCTAATCTTTAAACACCTATAATTTTGTAATTTCCTCAGTTCCCTATCCAATGAGTCTAGGTTCGCAACATGCCTAACCTTTAGGGGCAAATGCCAATATCTTGTAAGAAGTTGTTGCTTGGCTAACTCGCTCGCTACTGCAGTGCTCAGTGCCGATCATGTATCTTGTGCTTAATGCACTATCTTATGCCTGTAGAGGTTTATGAAAAATGGTGAAGTACAAACTTTAGGAAAAAAACTATCGATGGCCAAAACATGTGTTCCGAGCGTAACTTGGGCAAAATACCCCACCCCTTATTGGTTGCCATATCATATAGGAGGAATGTTGCTTATCAATCAAGCATTCCCACTGTAATCAAAAGGTAAATTGAAGCATAGAAAAAGCTAGCAAAGTAAGTTCACTTGATTTGACTTCTCATGCGTGAGTGAAGCTTTAACCCAACAGGAAGTTTGATGTTTTACTACGTGTATAAACTATCCTATTTGACTTAGTACCGATGGTGTCAATATGGTTTGTCCTACGAAGCGAACCTAGGTTGATGGTTTGCCTTCACGTCCCAATGATGCTTCGCTCCGTACAATTCTGCGACACTACAACATGGTTCGCTATACCTAACATTTCTATCCTCTCATTTGACTAGACGCTCTTGTGGTGACATTAAAAAAGGTTGAACCCCAACCTTAAGGGCTCCCACCGCCCCGCCCCTCCCCTCCCCTCCCCTAAAGCTTTATGAGGGAGGTAAATCGCGGGATGTACACCGAACAAATCAAGGAACAAGAGCTGTCTGTACACTGCGCCTACAAGGAGTTCAATTCCATGTCTCAGGAATCGAACCCCCACATTGCGGCTGTCAACAATGCATGAAATAACCTCACTTCTGTCCTTTGCACTACTGAACTATGCCCCGAAGGGCTCTCTTGTGGTGACATTGGAGGTATAACAAATGGTTTTATGGAAGTCAATTTTTTTTTTCAAATTTAAAAAATAATAATAATAATTTTCAAATTTTGGTTAAAATCCTTCCTTTCATTTTTTTTTATTTTTTTTATTTTTTTCATAAGAGAACCGACATTACTAAAATAAAAACAAAGTTGAGATGGGGCGGCTAAGAAAGTATTAATTAGATAACATTATTCAAAAGGATATGATCATGAAAGCTGCCTAATTAACCCCATGAAGTTGTTGGAATCTGATCCCATCATTAAAGCCTAAATTTATTTGTCCACTAGCCTGGGGTGCAAATACCCCAATTCATGTTTTATTTGGTCTCTCGCAGTGCCATTCTTCATTAGGGCAGAGTTTTTGAAGTGGAACGCACCATGTGACTGGCTTCATCTAATTTCTTTTTCCAATCTTCACAGGTTAAATAAATATGGCATTTTGAATTAATTACTCGAAAAATTTATAAATTCATTGAATTCTTTGTAAAAAAAATAATAATAAAATAATACTTATTCTTTTCCGAAAAATAAAATTTGTGATGAATATAGTAGGAAAATGCAAGCAAAATCCTACATATCGACTAGACATGTGACAGATGATGAATTGATAATAAAAATTAGACGACATCATGTAACAGGTTAACATTTTGATATGAAACTCTTGCTCCCAACAAGTGGTAGATTTTCATAGCAAATTACTAAAAATCACAAATCTTGCATAGCTGAGTATCAATGACGTTATTAATAAAAGATTGGACGATGTGAAAATTTATAATCCTGTTCTCGATATGACTCGATTATTATCATCCTACTTGAGCAAGATTCAAAAGTTCATTATGAAAAATATCATGGTGGACTTGGTGTGTGTTTGATTGATTACATGAAGTAATTATCAACTTAAGTTATAAATGGCCTGATGGGAAATTATTCCTAGCAAGTTGTGTTTATATTCAAATGGCAAAAAGTTCACAGGAAAAGTAACTTTATTCAAGTGCACAAGTTTTCAAATCTATGATTATGCATACAAATCCTTCTTTCATTTCATTCTCACATATCTATTCAATTGTCATTATAACTTCAAAAGACATAAAAAGCATCCAATCCAAACATAATTTAACCTAATTTGAATCCCTTTGTCATGATTATTAAGAAATAATTGATGCCCAGACCATATAAAAATACTACAAATAAAGAGTGGCACTCACATTTTGAAAGACCTTTATTGGTGTTGAAATGAAAAGGGTTTAGCTTTCTAGTCAATAAACCTCTTTTTCCTTAATAAATTTAAAATATCAATTTTCTAAACAATTAGGTTTGGCTCTCAACTTGATTGATCTCTCGACTCACTATTTGATTCGATTAAATTTGACATAAACATTACGTGCATTTTACTATTACTCTCTTCCTATTTCGTCTCACTTATCTTTCTTATTCGTATTCATTTCACACGAGTCATTAACCCTACTGTAGAAATTCATTTCTTTAAATTTTCCCTTCCAAAATTATCACATGAGGATAAAAATTTCTAAGCAAAAGAACAAAGAATTTAGACTAGAAAATGTTGACTAATAAAGAAAATGTTTGTCACGAAAAGGCATGCAAAGTGGTAACTCCTTTAGACCAGAAGAAAGTGCCATATTTTGGGGATGCAACTGTATCTTCTGCTTTTGGCCTTGCATTTTTGGATGTTCAAATAACATTTATTTGCAAGTAGCTTTAGCTTTTAGGTTTAGGATATGAATATTTTTGGGTGCTTTTCGACTTGGAAATATTTTCTTTTCGTGCTTACACATAAGCTTCCCTTAACCCACAATCCATTAATATTTATATTTAAGCTACAAACCTTAACACACGACTCTCTTATTCATTTCATATTTTTCCCAACAAATTGATTCCAATCTTTTCTCCTCACTCGAGCATTTGATTTCGTCCAATACTTCAATTGCATTATAAAATTATAGTAAGGACTAATATTCCTTTATATTTAAGCTAAAAATCCAAAAAATTAATTTAATTTAGTGATTAATTAATAATTCAACAAGAGATTTTTAAGTAAGTACTTATTTTTTACATTTTTGGTTCTTTATTAATAAAATTATTAATTCGGTTAGGATTTTTTATATATACAAATATTGAAGTATATTAAACTGATAATAGATAAAATTTTAACTTATTTCTCTTATTCGATCCTATTCGATATTAATTTGTTTTCCAATTTTTTACCAAGTAATTTTCTTGGTTTTTGCTTATCATAGTTGTTTTAAAACTTTGCAAAACACGCGTTATTAGATTCTGTATTTCTAGCAATTAATCAAATAAAGTAACTTATATCTGGCCACCACTCATATTCTGTATTTCAAACTCCATAAGCTGCTGCTTTCTTTAGTATATGTAGAATTATTCTACGTTAGACATTTTCTTGTATAACCTAGTCATTTTTTACTCACAAATATTTGTACGTGCTGACTCAATATTTTACATTTAGTCCTTGTCTGAGTCCTTTTTTTTTTTTTTTTTTTTGGAGGGGGGGGATGATTTTTTGAATAGTTTATTGATGGAAAATGTGCGATTAAAAAATAAAGAAAATTTTTAAATTTACGTGTAATATTATTTTATTGAAAAATATGTGGTTGAAATGTTGTCAAAATACTGTTTAAAAATGTATTTTTTGTTCCAAAGTATGGAGCTCAAACAAGGGCTCGGACTTTGGAAATTGGAAATAATTGAATAGTTCCCTTGAAAAAAATATAAAATAAATGAATAACTCTGAAAATGTACAATAATTGGATAATTGATAAATTTACACGGGCTTGGGCTTTCCAGCTGGTTTACCAAGCCATGTAATACAGCTTCGGTTCATGATCCTCAAGCCATGGACCGTGGTGAATTTAGCTAAGCCAAGCCTAGCCTAACGTGATGTCACGGCGCGGCTGGCGCAAGGCTAAGATGCAAATCGAGTCCAAGTCCATCATCTAAATTGGGTCCATCTTCTGCAGTAGAGAATCTACTTAATGAAGGCCCATCTAACCTTCCGTTATGGGCCTTGATCGCCTGAGGCCCAATACCTGTCATGCTGGACTCACTTACACTGACGGTACACGATAAGTTCCCTACACCCCTCCCGGTTGACCATGTGGGGAACACGCACCCATGCGACACCTGAAAGGGCTGCGCGGCGCGTGGAACGTAATACCACGGCGGGGATGAAGGCGCAGCGGAAGGAACCACCACGGAGCCTGGCGGAGCGAGGAGGTGGGCTGGCGGAGCAAAGGCCGAGACTATGGGGTTCCGCATGTAAGACGCGGCAGCATTTCTACTGGCTTGCATTTGTGCTCGTTTCAACTGTTGCCTCTCTTTCTTATGGGCATTTTGGTGACCACCCAGTGCTTGTGAATTGGCAAACTCCCGGCAGCAGTACTGGCACTCGTATTTCCGTCCGTCGGGTGCCGGAAAACCGCCGGAATCCGGCGAGCCTGATCGTGTTTTAGTGGCGTCTACTTCTTCTTCTTCCGTTACGTTGAAACCGAAGAGCTTTAGTGGTCCATTACTTGTATTATTATTGCATGGTTTTCTTTGATACTCTAACTCTTCCATGCTATATAATTATATGTATGTATGTATTTGTGTATGAATATTGAAGAGAGAGAGAGAGAGTAATTAAGGGGTGGTTTAAGATAATTGTTGCATGTGGAGGGTATTTATACAAGTTCAAAAGAGTTTGAAGTTTTCTTGACGGTGTTGGAGTGAGAAAGAAGAGAGAGAAGGGGGGTGGCGTGAGGGGCTGCGGATATCCCAAGAAGAAGATAGTGGGTGTGAAAATGGGAACACGAACATACAACACTTGGGCACCAATAGATTGCACTTGCTTTCTTGACACCATCATATATCATTTTCTCACTAGTTGAGAATTTACTCAAGTATCATGTTTTGCACAAAAATATATTTGCCACGTAAGCAAAAATAAATAGTGTTAACAAAAAATTCATTTCCACTTCAATTTCACATGGATTTTGTCAAGCTGATGTGACAACATGAAAATATGCAATTGTTAAGAGTTTCGTTTAAATTTAGAAATCTCGTGAAATAGAGTCACTTAATTAGAAATAGGTATATTCATGTACATCATTGGGTGTGATTTTATTTTTATTTAAGAAAAAAAAAAAAAGAGATTAGTTGTGGATAGAATTTACTAGAGATCAATTATGAGACTTTGTTATCTATTCATTAGACTTTAATACGAGATTAATAGCGAGGTTTTCAACTTTTATTCACCTAGATAGTAATTTATAGAATGGAGAATCTTCGAGGTAGCCAAAATTTTGAATTTGGAAGGGTCTTGGAAATTCATTTTGCTGTTGAGCAGACCTTGATGAAGTGAAGCATTGATGCAAATTTGTAGGGTTGGTTCAACTATCAAATGATTCATTTTCTTGCAACCTTAATTTCTTGCTATTTGTTAGGAAGTGAAAACCATTTAAGAGTGTGTTTGATTAACATGGAAAATATTACCTAGAAAAGAAAATATTTTCCATCTTTTGTGGAAAATAAAAACCATCTCTACCCAAGGAAAATATTTTCCTTAAAAACAAGGAAAATTAGGCATATTTTCAAAAGTTGGAAAATGTTTTCCATGGAAAAAAATAGCAATCAAACACTCCAAGTAGAAATTTAGGTGAAAAGCTGATATTTTCCATGAAAAATAAATGTAATCAAACACACCCAAGTGAGCATTGGAATATGGAAAATATTTTGAAACAAAAAATAGGAGTGCTAGTTTAGTAGGTCAAATGAACATGATAACTGATAAAGTTGATGAAATGTGTGGATGAAAAATTGTTAGTCCCATAAAATGTGTGGTTAAAATTAATTAATAACTTTGATTTAGATTAAAATCTGAATTTTAATTTCTACCAAACATGAGTTTAGTAAGTTCAAGGTATAATATTGTAATTTATTATTGTACTTTCACGACTATCTAATCTCAATCAATAATCACCATCAATCATGTTTCATGTACAATTTTTTTTGAACATTTTGACAACATGCCACGTGATGCGTTATTATTGAACAGTTTAAAAAATAATTTATCTTTCTAACCAATAATTTTTTTTGACACATACAATATTGTCAAAAATCATTGTACAAATGGCACTGTCCAATCACCATTAACGAAGAACAATTTTTTATAATAAAAATTCAAAAAGATTAAATTATCCGCCACTTCTCTTGGTTGAGATTAAAATAGGCTTCATGTACAATTTTTTTTGAACATTTTGACAACATGCCACGTGACGCGTTGTAATTGAACAGTTTAAAAAATAATTTATCTTTTTAACCAATAATTTTTTTGACACATACAATATTGTCAAAAATCATTGTACAAATGGCACTGTCCAATTATCATTAACGAAGAACATTTTTTTATAATAAAATTTCAAAAGAATTAAATTATCCTCCACTTCTCACGGTTGAGATTAAAATAGGCTACGAAAAATATTAGTAGGAAAAACCAATATTAATTAAATTATGACGTCCTAGAAAACCAACGCGCCCTCCAAAATGATCACACTTTAAACCTAGAAATAGTTAGTACCATAATCAAAGTTTATCTGGGATTATTTTATTTAGCATTCCAATGACAAATCGACACGTAGGGACAAAAATAACAGATCTTCTCTAATTCTATACTAGTCCCATGTTCATGTAGCCATTTCAAGGCAAACGTCACGTGGCCAAATGGTATGAAATATTATCAGTGTTTTAAATGGCAACATCAAGGCGTGATGCTCGATCAAAACGTCAAGTCAAGTGGCTTGACGTCTTATTTGGTGGTCAACGATTGCCGTAGACTGCTAAGGCGCACCTAAGCGCAATTATGCTCGTATTATCATCCTTTTTTAAATTTTGTGTTGTTAAAAAATTATCAATGGCTAATTTCTTCATTTTTGCTCTAATTTAAAACAACCACTTGTATCGGAAGACACGGATTACGAATTAAATGAAGAAGAGGATATTGAATTAGAGTCCGATAAAGAGTTAAATAAGATTTAAGTTCCTATACTATGTATTTACTATTTTGTATTTAAGTTTGAAATTTAAGTTTGAAATTTATCTTTTTAAAAATTTAAAAAAAAAAAAAAAAAAAGTATAACGTTCCTATAAATCCATTTTAAATGTTTAGTAAGTATTATTTTTAATTATTAAATAATTTTTTGATTTACTAAAAATGAAAATAATATTAAAATAAGAAAACGCCTTTTTATGCATTTTTACGCCTAAATCTCGTCTAAGCTTGCGTATGCATTAAGTCTTTTAGAACACTGAGTATTATTGGTGTTTGACCTCCCAATACAGTAATATTAAATTATAGATTCGATAAAATAGATCTTATATTTCTAGTTTTTATTCGGCATTGTTCTTTTATTACAACAAAAACACACGATTGAAGTGGGAATTGGCAAATGTGGTTTGGTGATCTGCTGTGGAAAGAAAATCCATCTCATAACAATGGAAAAAACTACCCTTGTTTTATTTTTAGGAAAAATTGAGAAGTCTCGTGTAGTAAATCATAGCTACTTGTCAAATTTTTACGTTAAAATCTTCCATTTATCATTTTTATTATAGTCATCATCATGCTTTACAGCCATACAAGTCTTATTCTCTTAAATTTCTTTTCTTTAATTTTTCTCATTCAAACGCCTGCATTGTCTCAAAAGGTTCCTTTAAAAGGCTCTTTCAGTCAAATAAAATATTTTTAAAATATTATTCAAAAAAATTGAGAAGTAATTTTCTACTTTTTAAAAGCTTTCTCAAACGAGCCCTTAATGTTAGAAGTCGAGACAAGCCAACTACCATTCCCTCTCTCTAAATTTACGAAGCCCCAACTTGATTTAGCTAAAAATTAATTTTTTAGTAAAGTTTGATAAATGCTGATAAAATGTACGGTTATAAAATTGATAAAAGTTATGTATCTCATGAATATGTGATTAAAAATAAGTTCTATTAAAATTGAATTTTAGAAAATTGAGGCCAAACTGAATCTAAGGGTATAAAAAAAATCCATGCAATATGACTTTTCAAAATATTATACACATGCTAATCAAAATATACATATATAATGCAAACAAAATCTAACATTAGATGCATTGTTGGATTTGGATTAAAATTTGATTTTAATCTAAATCAAAGTCAAATAATCAATATTAACCACATTTTCATAGTCCCACAACTTTTTAACTACACATTTCAAAAATTTTGATCACAATCTACTAAAAACTTAATTTTAATCCCCACCAAACACCCTTTCGTAAGTACCTTTGACCTCTTAATCTGCAGTTTTGCATGGCCGACGAACTGCTTTACGTAATATCACAAATGTCAAAATAAGTAAATGAAAATACATGAACCTTCATCTTTAATTACTATTGACATGTTTAGTACGTTGAAATGACGAAACTCGACAACATGATCGAATCACATTTGTATCTTTTACATTTTAGTTGGCGAGTTCGACGTACCAATATGCGTATTACACGTCAATTCTACACATTTCATGAGATGAATATAGTGACATGTTTGAAAGAGGTTGAAAGTTGAGGTGTTTACAACTTAGAATGGAGCCCACCATTACGTGCTGATGATGAATTATTATTTAGGATGTTTGCGTGATTGACGTTGAAATTCATATTGTTTAAGCTTCGCTTTCTATGGGAGAGATCTCCTCGAATCTTACTGACTACAAGAGATAGAGAAATAATTGATTATATATAATTAATTATCCATGAAAGCATACTAATTAATCACAGAGTTTTTCACAACTCTTCACCACAACTCCAAGGCATGGCCCACCATGTCTCCCCTTTAAGTGTTATCTCTTTTCACTTAGTCAAATTAGTTTTCTTATATAAAACAAACAAACGTTCATTGTCTTTGGATCATACTTCATGATCTTTTCCGCCGTTGGATTAATTTATAGTTATTTTTTATTTATTGTATTTGATTGCACTAGTAATTATATCAAACTAATAGTCAGTGGTAGATAGTGATTCAAAATCAACAACCCACTTTTCAATTAATTATGAACTTTTTTCTCTCAAAAATCAGACATACATAGGCATAATTATTATATACATATGAGGAAAAAGTCAATTTGATCCACCAAATTGGGTTTTCGGTGCATTAGGGGTTGTTTGGACAAATATTCAACCTAAAAAGTAGTTTGTATAAATTTTCTTCCAAACTGTCGTTATAACGTGTTAAAAGTATGATTTGTGTGTCATGTAACCCTATCGAGTGACCTTAAAAAGTATTAAATAAATCAAAAAAGTTCATTTTCAGGGTTGATTGTAAATTAATTACAAATTTGCAAGTGCAAGAATGAAACAAAGGAGCTGAAATTGTGGACATAGATTTAGGAATGGATTAGGATCCTATAAATAGAAAAAATGTTAATGATAAGACATTGAAATCTACCCACCTTTTGACTTTGGGGCACTCACTATCTTTTTCTAGAGGCCCCCAAGAAGTTGGTTTGAAACCCAAAAAAATGTAGTGAAGCGAGCCACTTAATTTAATGCAAGTAGTTGTGCCCTTTAAGGTTGTAAGTTTACACAAAGTTGTTAAGACTTGCATTAAGTGGCTAATTGTACTCATTCTAAAACTTCATTAATACTTTAGAATTTTTTAAAATTTTGGGTTTGATTTGCTTCTCTAGGTGTACAAATAGACATATATGTTGTGCATTGTTGGCCCATGTGTTGAAGAAAAAAAAAATCCTTTTTTAGGGTTATTTTCATTAGATTGGCACACAATTTTCAAACAAAACTCCTCTTGGGAAACAGGAATTTGTTCAATCAAAATCATGTAAGTTTCAAACATGAAAGGCTCAAGTCCACAACACTAAGGAAGAGATAGAGGAGCTAAAGCACATGGTCGAAGTTAACGAATAAACTATTTCGTCTAAAAGTATAATCTATCACAAATTTATTTATTGAAATTGCATACTCAACAAGCTCCATCACCTATAGATTGACTTTATTTCTTCATCAAGAGTTTGACTAGTGAATGGAAGATAGGAAGATTTGAGCTCAATATCTTTATCGATTCTGATACCATATTGGACTACCTTGAAAAGTTCAAAACAATAAAAAAGTGCCAAATTTATTATCTAAATTTTGTATTGAACACGCTCCTGTAAGTTTAGAATTTCATGTGGAGTGTGTGGGGAATGTCCAATCAACTTTCAAAAGCTTGTTAATTAATCAAGTGAAGTCCTTAAACAATAAGTTTTCGTGTTAATGATTTCCACCACCCAATATAAAACCCTATTAAGGACATTAATCATGGTTTCTTTATTGTTGATTGAAGTGATACGGATATTATCGTTTGAGATTGCCTAAATCGTGAGCCGGCCCCACTAAGATGTGTTAATCAAGAAAATTAAACCAATGGGAGCTTATTAAACGTATTTTACATTAGATTATTTGGCATAATCCTATCATAATACAACCGCATTAACTTTCTAATCAACTTTGTTCCCTTTACTATAAGATTATTTGAGACATAATTCTATCATTCAACATTTTAATCATCTCTGTTCCCCTTTACAGCCATTACTTTGGAAGGATCCAAAAAGAAAAAAAGACAAACCCCAATGTGACTTAGATTTCAAGTTGTAATCCCTTTTTTGGATATGTTTCAGAGTACATTTAATTAATCCAAACTATGTGGGGGTGTAACTCAATAAGCCTCTCCTAGTATTCCAAGTGACACTACCTACTTCATTTTAAAACATAAAGTTGCAGGTTGAGTGGAGTTTGCTTTAAGTCATGTGAAGTGACACACACCCTAATACACATTATTAAATAATTAATTACAAATCTTGGCCTAGATTACAGTTTAGCATCATACTTAAAAAGTCTGGTTCAATTAAAAAATTAAGTAAAATCTAAATTAAAATCAACAGTTAATTTAATCGCATATTTCATTAGATTCATAACTTCTTACTTACACGTTTCATTAATTTTTATTCAAATTAAACGAGGCCATAATTCTTAAAATAAGATGTGTTCCTAAATTGAGAGATTGAAGGGGGAAAGGGGACTTGGTCAATGAATGAGACAAATTAAATGTGATTTGTGTAGCCATTAGAGTGGACACTTAGATGGCCACATTAACATCACATAACATATAGTCCAAACACATTAGTTGGAAGACACATTCACATGTATTAGGAATATTAAATTATGTATTCATTAATTTAAATTGGGAACTAAAATTTTCTTCCTCAAAACATATGTGACCATGTGGAAAGGTTTGATTTGATGTAGTAATGAAATATTTGATAAATGCACTATTTCATGTCAGCATGTATATTTTTTTTTATCTTTTTACAACTTTCTTACATTTTATAATAAGAAAATTGATGGCGATGTAAATAATGTGAGTAATTAAATTACTTTTCCTTCACAATGATGATATTAGTTTATTTTTTACCTTTTGGTTTATGAAGCCTTCTTTACTCATTCAAGTTCCAATCATTTCGTAAAAATATGACTTTTGATTAGAGCCAACTTTAATAACTTGAGAGCTTTATACAAAAATTGAAGGGATCTTGTCAACATCGAATGGAGCGTATAATATTTAACTTTTCTAAAGAAAATGAGAGTTTCAGGCAATTTTCTAACTCGTTTCGAGGTTAAATCGCCTTTTGGTGTGCCTTTTTTTCATTCAAATCCTTTAGTAAATTATGCAATAATATTAAGATCGAATATTGAAATCAATATAAGAAATTCTTTCACGTTATTTTATTTAGCCAACTTTAGAAGTGGAAATTGCTAGTGGATGGGGCTTATATGAACAATCTGCAAAGTTCCATGATCCATTTTCGAATTCCTATATCTTAATCGAAGTATAATAAAGCTCTACTATATTTATCTTATATAAGAACATGATGGTACTTCGTTTAAGGAAAGAACCTTAGATAAACAAATCTTGAAATTTTCAAGGTACTTGTGATTTGTACCAGAAAACGTTAATGTAATGCAATGCAGTTGGTCTTAAACAAATTAGTCTATTTCACGTAGTCAAGACAAGAAGATTTCCAAGAAAATAATTATATTTTTTTATGTGAATTGTTCAAGTGCATTAGGTCATCTCTATATTTAAAAACGTAGCTAAACCTTGTTGATGAAAAAATAAAACTTTAATATTACGTTTTCTTGTCTATTATTTTGCTAGTTTATTTTATTAGCCGGTCTTATGTAATTATGCCACCATTTTGGGCAACCAAGACAACTTATTTATTACTGGGCATGAAGCAAATATGTTACATTGGCCGCCACAATTCATTAATTATATTTTTCTTCATTATTATCAAATTTTAGTTGTAACCTCAATTATTGGAGGTTGGATTTTATGTCCCTTCGAAGTTTTTAGTTTCAAATTCAGTTCATAATTAACCAAAAATGAATGCAAAACACTCGCAGGGTAAATAAAATAAGAGTCATGCAACATTAATTAATTTTAGAACGGAAAAAGAAACTACTTAAAAGTGATGGTGAAGTTAAACATACTTCATTGTGAGTCAATTAAATTATTTATATATTTTTTTCAAACAACATAACATTTGAAAATAATCCAATATATTATTATAAACGTTGCTAAATTTTCATACTTTGAAAAAATTGTATAATTACGTCATTATCAAAATTTTCAAATACATTTCTTCTTGACATTTACAATTAGACTATCATTCGACCGTCAAATTTTCAATGCAATTGTGTGTTTCCAGCTGTGAGTTGAGGACTTTGGTGTTGACGTGACCCAACAAAAAATAAAGGTACGGTCATTCGTCGACCTCGATGCATTGAACTGATTATCATTTGGTAAAAATAGCAAAATTAGATATTAAAAGAAAAATGAAATTCAAGACTTGAGAGAAATCGAGAGACAAAAAGTGAAAGAAAAAGTCATTCAAATAGTGAAAAAAATAAAAATTAAAAAAAAATTAATTCGAAAATTTTTGTAGGATAACGAACCTCAAATGACCCAATGTAAGCCTGCACACGCTTCAAAGTTACTTAAAATTAACTTTATTTATTTATTTATTTATTTTTCCTTTGGAGGACAATATCAGATGCCAACCCTGGTTTTCATCCCAATTAAAACGCACTATACAGAGGTAAACTCATAAACAAGGACAATAACAATAAAAACAAATAGAGAATAGTAGGAATATTATTTACAATAATAAAAGTAATTGAACATCTAGTCAGTTACCATTAATCTCAACATTAAACAAAATTATCTGTCTAAAACATAAAGTAATTGATAATTAAAAAATAAAGATAATATTTTATCCTGACCATGAATACACATGCCCCCACTCCAAAACATCCGTATGTCGACAGATAGAAGGCGAATTAAACCGTACTTAAAAAATCAAGGAAGAAAAAGGAGTTAAAATCGCATCTAGTAACACTTGGATCACCAGCTAAAACTCAAAATATAAATTACAAATGTCCATAAAACAAATAGTGGGGAAAAAAAAAAGTAAAAAATATTATGCTTACACAACATGGTGCCTAAGTATAGAACAGGCCCAAAATAAATAAATCTAATTACAAAAATCCTCTATAGTTTCAACATTTTACAGCAGTGAAATATCATAAAACAGCCTCGAAAATAAACATACCAATCACACAATACAATGGGAACCATATGTAGCTGGTAAAATTACTTTGCCCAAAGTTTGCATGCAAGAATAAAATTTCATACCTTCGGAACAAACAGGAAATTATCTACCACTCACTTTTTATCAGATCCTTTGAGGTTGAGATTGAACCATTTCTTTTTTGAAGATTTGTCCTTCAAATCTGAACTTCCCTCTTCTTCCGGACTCTCGGATTTGAAATCACTACTTCCATTACTAAAATGTCCACTTCCACCTGTAGTAACGACTGATCTTGAAACGGTAAAAGAAGAGTGGACGCTGTCTCGTTGTTTTAGCAGCTCATCAACCTGTTTGGACGAAGAAGACAAGCAAGATAATTAAGTAAATAACAGCAGCAAATTAAGGGAACCAGCAAGGGAAGAATCAGAAATCAGATGTATAAAACAATAGGTTGAATTAGTAATTATCTCACGTATCCAAGAAGTCAATTATAAGTGAAGCTGACATGAATTTAACAATTTTACTCCAAAAAAGAGGAAGTTTGGCGACCATAAAAACAAAAAATAAAGATAGTGAACTCTTGAACATGGATTCCCTATACATTACTTTCGAACTCCTTAAAATAACATTATACAGAAGTTAGTAGTTGGCCAAATAAATTGGTATAAATAATGCGAGCATGACACATTACATTTAGCAAAATGACAGAGAATATCACAATCTAAACTTTCAACTCCAAGATGCACGGAACACTAATTGTTAATATGTTAATATTTGTAATTATTTATTTTCTTCTTTAACCTTGTACAGATTTAATGGAAAATGAAATCCAAAGAGATGGAAACTAAGATTGATGGCAAGGGTATTTTGACAGTGGGCGATTCAAAACATGAGTAGTAAACTTACAGATTGCTTTTCCTGGTTGTATCTATTGGTGACTTCTTGGAAGCGCGCCAAAGCCTGCAGATAACAACCAAACAGAATAAAAGCGCAGTAAGAAATATGTGCATGAACCTTCAATAGAAAACACCGGTAACTATTGATTAATAAATTTAAATAAATGAATTTGCCCCCTCTCTAACAGGGTAAGCATTTAGATGAAGTGGTTCCACATGGTATCACAGCAGACAAAAATTCTTAACTTGCCCCTCCATGAAAATTGTGCACGTGAGGGGATTGTTAAAGACTAAATTAAATAAACAAATGGGAAACTCCCTAACAGCGTGGGCTTTTAGATGATGTGCTTTCACAATAATTAACATGGCTGGAAAAGGCAAGAAACCTTTCTGTATTCTGTTTCGAATTGGCGTATCTCATTTCTCTTCCTCAAAATCTCAGCCTCAATATCCTTCAGCTTATGAGTTGTATCCTCATACGACTTTGTACAGAGCGCCTCAATTGTGTAGGTTGCAGGTTTGAAGAAGTTATCTCCTACATGCATCAGGCACAGGTGAGTTTAAATGATTTTAATCTGTTTTGTAATAATTACTTATACTATAAGCTCAATATTTATAATAATAAACACAATATAAAATCAATTCGGACCATAAACAGCAAATATGTGAGTGCCAGCTTTTAGTTCTGAGACCTCACAAGGTTGAAGGCCTTCCAATCTTTTGAAGAAAGCAGCGTCTGGATCCTTAGCCATTGCCAACTACATCACCACGTACACATTATTCAGTGCAAGTAAACATGTAAACCCTCTTAGTTGAAAAGGACAAGTAAACTGACATACTGCATTTACAGTAGAATCCATCCTGTACACTTGAAAATGCAAGAAATACATTCCAGCTGATGTAGCCTTGCCTGTCTTCTCACTTTCTTCCTGTATAAGTTAACAGTGTCACAGGCTCATGAAATAATATGCATCAATAAATTACACATGTAGAAGCATTCAGTGCCAGGGGAACAAAGCCATAGATATATAAACATAATGAAATATTTTACAATAGTAAGAAGATTTCACATCCAGCAAGGAAACTAAATTCAGGCCCAAATGGCGACCCAAACACTTAAAGAATCTATTGAGAACAGAAATAGTGCTAGGTTCGAGGGCGAAAATTTTCAATAGGTTCATTTGAAAAGAACTGCACATTTAGTTATATCTGTAGGCATGAATCAACTACTAGAATCACGGCATCAAATCAAAAGGTACGATTACATAAGCCTCCAAATTAGGTGGGATAGCACTGCACTGCCAGAAATCTTAATCCATAGGCATGAAGATCTCAGGCCAGCAAAATAACAAGATTCTGATACCCAGCCAACTGGAACTAGATACTCAATACTAGGCCACTACTAAATCGAATGGACTAGTAAAGAAACTAAGTTAATAGCAACCTATAGAACGCAGACATATTTGTCCAAGTATAACTGATCAAATTTGAACCTCGCAAAATGGGAAGTTTAGAAATGACGATGGGACAGCAGAATATTTTCTATTTGGTGATTAGCAAGTGATGAATTTCCTATTATTGTAAGCTTGCCCTACGGTTTTGCCTCTGTCATTATATTTTTTGCTTTAGCATACGTTTGGCAAGTGTTTATAAACGGTCAGAAGCTGGTCAAACCAACTTTTATCCACACATTTTGTAAGAGTCACAAGTAATGCACACTTATCCACCGCTTGTTCTTATCTATTTATAAACAAAACTGTTTATAAACATTTCCACAAACAAGCTTTTCATCATGAACGAACTTACAACTTATATTCAAGATGAGGTCCTTCGTGAACATTATTCTTGAGGAAATCCTTTTGTAGGTCAGACTAGGATGGGATAAATTGTTAATTAGAATAGTGAGGAAATACTTTGAAATCTAAATGCTTTAAGTAAGCTAAGATGAATGAATAGAGTGATCTTTTATTCATAGTACAGGTAAGAATAATGGTGAAGTCATAGATGATCTTGTCCCAAACAATAGGTGGTTTCGGTGTTTTATGGTAGTTTCTAATTGTTGGCATGGGTTTTTGAAGGTGGCATTTAATGGCGGGTTTGATGGGCCGGGCTTTTGTGGTGATTTTCAACGATTAAGGGTGGTGGCAAAAGGTGACGGCAGTTTTGAATAGGTTGGGATGTCTACTGCAAAAAAACATTTCCAAACATAATGCATGTGGGAATGGTCATTAAGGATAGAGCGTCAAGCTCTGATACCAATTTGAAGTAGAATGCAATCAAACTAAAACTAGAGTCATAGAAGATGAGAGGAGAGAGAAAGAGGGAGAAAGATATGAAGAGAGAGAGAGAGAGAATTGTGGTTTTCATTCAATATCAATTGTAACTATTACAATGCATAAGCTTCCGTTATATAGGGATTAAAGTTATGATGCATTGACACTCCGACATGTGACTTTTTTTAAAAAATTCTGACATGACATGTTGTCGACACGTAGATTAAATTATTTACAATTCTTCATTTATATAGTACAAATTTAATTTTATACTTATTATTAATTTTTAGTTATTATTTAATTATAATTTTGAGTAAAAATATATCGAATATTTGATAAAGAAAGAAAAATGATCATGGTAGAATATCTGAAAAGTATTTGTTTCTGACATGTATCGAATACGGACATGCTAACCAAATTGAAATGTCCATGCAACATAGTTTTAAAGTTACCTAATCCAATAAAGCATTTGGCCATAACCTTGCACCCCTCATCCCTGCCCCTGGGCAGTTTTGGATGTCCCCCTCAAAGTGAGCCCTAAGGCAATCCAGCAGAAACTAAATATCCATCATAACTGTAGTTTCATTCTTTTAACCAAATTTGCAACCTTTAGCAAGCATGTGTAACAAGTTGAACAGAGAATGAATCTTGTACAAGTCATTCCAGCAAACAACTAAGATTTGCAAGCTCCAAACTTAAGGAAATGAATGGATATGGCTGCTCTAATATTCATTCAGTCGGATTAGCACAAGAAATAATCATTGAAGTGCCAGGTTTTGAGTTAAATCTAAAGTCGGACAGCTGAAATTTTTCACAAAGATCAAATTACTCCCTCTGATCAGAATCTGCCCACTAATTATAACAATTGAGCTGGAATTTGGTGTCTCAATATGTAACTTAGGGCTAAAAAGACATAATATGAGCCACAGATCTTGATCATTCATCCTCAGATGATCTTGATTACTCAAAAGGGATGAAGTAGAAAAGAGATCCCCTTTCCCGAACCTGAAAAACTATGTATCATCAATCGTCCTTGTCGATGTCTAGATTCACCACAGCTAGCAACAGAAAAGGGGAAATCTACCATGCCTGCCTGACTACCAGCACACACTCCATCCCTCCTTCAAAACCACAAAAAGTGAAGCAGAAAAGGAAAGTGGAGGAAAAAAATAAAAAAGGAGGCCCCACGGCCCAGTGTGACAGTAACCACTTTGCAATATCTTCCCTTCTAATTTTGTTTCCTCGAAACCATGAGAGCACAATCTCTCCAATCCACAGCATGAAAAATGGTTCCGCCTCTCTTTCCCTTCCATATCAGAGCAATCCCTTGGAGAAAATACAAGAGGGATCAGGGCTTATATATGTTCTGTTGTACATAATATTTTCTTGACGTTTATCAAAGTTGAGATGTTACAAATTTTCCACAAAATTGAATTCCTGTTAAGTTTTAAGGTTCCTTGAGGGTGTTTATTGAACAGTGGCAAGTGGTGATTTTGCTTTATTTCATTCTCTTTAGCATAAATCATCAAGATCAATGGCTTGTGATTTTCCATATTTTTTCAGTTTTAAGGTAGGCATAAAAGACCAAATTACCCATCTAATATTGAATTATGATGTAACATCCAACCTGAGAGGGACTAGTAGTTAGCCCTTTTTTGCTGAAAGAATTACCCAGAGATTCAAATCAAAACTCAATGACAAACGATATTACGGAATTTCAGTGTGACGTTATTTGTTAATTGGAGTGTCTATTTATAAATGTAGTTTGATATTCAATCCAACAACACAATATCTATAAATTTATCATAGACATAGCTTAATTACTGAATGCCAATCATACACAGAGTTTTGACACTAGAACTCTATTAAGTTCATATTTACACCCCCAAAAAGAAATTTGACTTTCAAAAATGTTTAAAAGACAGCAAATAAACTGATTATGGTTTAAGGAACTTAATAGCCCAGAGAGTAAAAACTGCACAAGTTCTCACAACGTATCACTAGATTAACGCAATTAGATAGCCTCACATAGGGGGGCAATGCATGACAAATGTGAACCTATAAAATTCTGGATGATAGGTAGGAATGTTAGACCATAACCAGATCTGTGGATACCATAGAGAAAACATGAAATAAAAGCATTCAAGACTTAAAAGAATGTGATATTAGTAATGTACAAATAAAAAATAACAAGCATAAGCATGTGACACAAGAAGATGGACCAATACTCAGATTGCCTTGAGGTGATTCCACGTAAAGAAGCACCATTAATGATCAAAATTCACATTCAGATCGGGATTCAGGCTGAGGGAGAGTAGAATCAGTCCATAACACAATTGAGACGGATTTTGGTAACCAGAAAAAGGTCTCACCACTATTTCATTAATCGTTTACTGGTTTTTATCTAAGAATCACAGTCCCGGATGAACAATAAGCAATAGATTGAATAAAACAAGGTTAAGTTTAGGAAGAAAAGAAAAAAAAAGTATAGGAAAAGACTAACAGATCAAAATAACTGACATAAAGGGAACATGTGAGCAAATGAATTGTCTGAAATAAAGAACTGTAGAAGCAATTAAAATATGTTGTTATTGTCAGTATAGCAAGTTATTAACCAACATGCAAAGTAAATCAATATGTAAACCATTAAGCAATAGACCATAGGTGAGAGGAGAAGGGAGAAGAATTATTTACAAACATAGCATTCTAAAGGGCATTATAAGTAGCAGAAATGTTCATCCTCAACCTAAAATTTGAAAAGATAAAAGAATAGGAACCTAGATATCAATTTAGAAAATAAGAAAGACAACACTAAGATAGCAATGCATATGTGTGGTGTTTAAACTGAAGTTAAAGGAACACACATGCAATTTGTTGTTATCCCAATCAATACTGGCTAAATAACTAATAGTGTAAACACTTTGGGAATACCTATTCCTTGGCACGTGTAAGTTAACAAGACCTATATGTAAAAAATGTTTTAATAAGTATGCACATAAAATGTCCATAAGTCAAGGCATCCTTTTTACCAATTTGACTTTTAAGGTGGTTTTTTACAGTGTTAAAATTTGAAGGGTTTTTTGGTTGTTTTAAACAGAACTTAGCACTCTGCTCTTACAACTAAAGTACAATCCTCCAGATTCATGCAACTTTATGGCAGTAGATTTGTGGCAAGAGACTTGCACCACATAACTTTAGTCTTTTTCACTTATATTTTTCTCCAAGTTATCCAGTGATTTATCTTCATTCATTAGCATCTTTCCATATGTGGTAGATTGTTTCATTTGTTTATAGCTCGAGTTATGGATTAATGGTCTTGTTTATGCGATTACAACTTTGTTGATTTATAATTTGCTACTTTTTTGATCCATTTTATGTTTCTAGCTGTAAATTAAACTTTTAACTTTGTTAAAATGTGTTATTATTGGTTGTATAGATGATTTTTAGTTTGTTATTAATATAGTTAGTATTTTATACTTTCGAAATTATTTATTGGTTTATGTGGAGGTATAAGCTCAAAATTCCTCAACATATATGTGTCGCATCACAGAGGCAAAACATCTCAATACTAAGTGCTTGTTTGGGAAAACATATAATCACGTTATAAAAAAGGTCAAAGGCAAACTTATATTTTAACGACACTATCCTATACCCACTTATCCACCACTCATTTTTTATTACATATAATTTATGTAGCTTATAAGCGAATCCAAACAAGCACTAAAACTGTAAAGATGATAAATTACCTGCAAGGCAAGGCCATACCCACCATTTGCATCATGCTCAAAGTACAGGAGCTGAAAATCACAAATCAAAAGTTTTCAGTAATCAATTTATTTTGCATGTGCTTTGCACACCAAATTACGCAAAAGAGGCACTTTCTCCATAATTAGTTGTATAATATACTCTACAACAACAAATATGCATGCACCTTAAATTTGCTCTGTGCTGCTGAAGTAACTCTAACTACAATGCCTGCTTCAGCTTGTTCTTCATTAATAGTTACACCAAAAAAGTGAGCACATTGCTTTTCTACCTGTGACCAGAAAAAAAGGAGCAAAATCAGAACAAAGAAAAAAAGAGTCTTCTTTATCCTACAAAAGGAATGTGTACCTTTCCGCTGACTGAAGTTCCAATTGGAAGAGGTCTGACTGTAACAGTGCCATTTAAAGCATCTTCAAGAACATTAGCAGAAATTGTGGTCTTGATAGGGACACCCAGCTTGCTATCCAAATAAAAATAGGTAAACAACCTAGTTCTTGATTACAACAATACAAAAAGATCAACAAGAGTACCTGAATAAAGCAGCAAACATTGTGTTAACAGTTCCAAGGTTTGATAGATCAACTTCCACATCCATTCCTTCGGCATCAAGGGCCTTATTATTGTTGATGTCAAATGTTGAACCAATTGGGAGATGCAAAATAAAAACTAGTCAAAAGGGCAAGCAATTATTTGAAATATTAATGCACAGTCACTACCCACCCAGTTTAACTCTGGTAGACTCGAGACACGATATGCACGAATAATACATGCTAGCTAGGCACTAGACCGCATCATCAAGGCTAAAGTTAATCTAAGCCCCTGTTTGACAACCATTATTTTCAAACTCTTTTTTCTACATACTCTTTGTCAATCATACATTCATACAATAAAATATTTTGCACGTAAACCCAAAATTTTTCCTTACTTCTTAAACAAATATTCTCCTAAAAAACACTATTCAAAACTCCACAATTAATGGTTGTCAAATAGGGACTAATGCTACTAGTGAATTATTTAACAAAAACTCGACAAAACCTCCCTTTTATACAGACTAAAACCAACCTGAAAAGCAACATAAATACTCCATCACGATGTATTAAATAAGCTGGGGACAAGATGCCCCTCTAAATTCATGCTAATCAAATAAAATAGAGACAACACAGGCACGTCCAACTCCATTCACAAAAACATCCCAAAACATGCATGAACTGACATAAGAAACAACAAGCCCATTTGACTATATACATATACAAAATGACTATGATATATAATAAACACATGTACAAACAATAATGTCTACATGCTCTTATCATATAAGTTGTAGAAACTGAATAGCCCAGTTGGCTTGAATCAGAAATCAAAACATGCAAGCAAATGTGCAGGTGGCTTGAGTAAGTGCTTGTTTGGATTTGTTTATAAGTAGCTGAAATTATAATGTGATAGAAATGGGTGGATAAGTGGTTAGTAATTGTGAGTCCTTCAAAATGAGTGGAAAAAATTAAAGTTTGACCTTGACCTTTAAATTATAATTTAATTATAAGTTTTCTCAGACAAGCACTGAAACACAATAAGATGCATGCAAACGTGTGTGAAGGAAATAAAAACTGCAATTGCCAAAAACCTTTTACCGACTGATGTGGCTGCATATGATGTATAGTATCTTGTCAAATTTGGCCAACATGAGAAACTTCAACCACGAACTTGTTAAAATAATTTGACAATAGATGCACTATAACTAAATTATCAGAAAAAATAGAAATATCTACCCCTAACCCGTCAACCAATTAACATGCTTTTCTTCAGTTCAAGATAGCTTTAAATACCGACAAATGATGCACAAAACTATGATGGAAAAGTCAAGGCTCAACTCCATGATTTAACCATTACAGATCCACATAATACAGAAGCATGAGATCAGACATGCGGACGCACAGAGAGAAACAAGTGGCCAAAATTTCTTAATAACGCCTCAAAATATATTCAAATCTATATTGTCCGTAGAGGCATATAAATCCTAAAATTGGCACTAAAAACAACCACGTCATATAGGTTAATCATTGGTAGCATTATTTTAACAAAAATTATTATTTCTTTATAATTTTAAATTCGACAAAAAACTGAAGATGATCAACTTCACCGTGTTTAAACTGGGTTTCAACATCCAAGTTTTTGAACAAAATTGCAAACCATTGAAAAGAAAAATGCAACTCTTCAATCCAGATACATCCACATGTTTCATGAGAGATAGAGATAATATTTTTAGTGTTTTCCAATTTGACACTCCATGTGTGGTTTCGTTTGAACTGTAGTGGTTGTAGAACTTAAAAATATTATACACGGGCAGGCATTCTACCACAGTAATAACCTACAATCATTTTGGTCAAGGTATTTCATAAAATCAAATCCAAGTGTATTTTTGCTTAAATGGGTGGTAATTTGCCTAATTTTAGGATCTAAAAGTCGATTACTTGCCTAGTTCAATACTAGGCAGTAACATGCCATTTCAAAACCAACAGAGGAGTACTACACTACCCATATTCAAAAAGACATGGAACTGATGGAAGATAAGTATTACCACAAATCCTGCATTATCGTATTGTCTCTTTTTCTCGGGATCAGATAAAATGCTATACGAATATGCAACCTCCTTGAAAAGCTCTGAAGCTTCGGGATTACTAGCATTCTTGTCCGGGTGGTACCTGTATATAACAATTGATTATCTGATCCATGAAATCTATATGAGCTTTCCTTAAAGTTTACTGCTATGCAAATTTAGGTTGGAACGAAGAACCATTCACAGATTCCTTAAGATATGTAACAACTTTGCATCACTATGCTGTGAAACTTCCAAAGCAGATTTACCATTCTCAAAACCAGCAATTTCCACATTACCATCGACTGATTGACAAACAAATATAACTCAGATTCAAACTCTCAATATTAAGAAATCTTGAACAAAACATTCTTAATATATCTGGACAGAAACCCTTTCTTTTTCGTCCTTGTATCCTTTTGTAATTTTAAATTCAAGAAAATCATTAACAAATTAGTTAAGCACTTCACCTGCCTACTTGAACACCAATTGAGCTTAAGACCTAACTGATACTGATAGCACTCTCAAACAGAAAGATATAAATCTACACCAAATAAAATAAAAATTCTTGAATTGATCTGCGAACCTTTTAACCTTTATAGTGCTAGTAAACGCAATGAAACACAATTTGACCTTACCACCAACACCAAACTCATCTATTTAAAAAATTGCACCCACAAGCATAAACAAAACGGTGATTCTTAAAAATGAGAATCAAATAATCCAACTTCACCAACCATGAAACACATATTTACCTCAAATAACTGTACGCAATCAAAGTTTAAAAGCTGAAAAGTAAAAAATTAAAAATGTTGAAACTTACTTGAGAGCAAGCTTTCTATAAGCAGTCTTGATTTCTTGATCAGAAGAATCCCTTGACACACTCAACACCTCGTACGGATCCCGGCGCAATGCAGGCGCCGACGATCCCTCCATCTTCGACCCCCTAATTCACCTCTTCTATACTCTGTTTTCAATATTTTATTTCCCTTTCACCAAAGTGTGTTTCTTTTGCTTCCTGCAAAATTGACTTTCTTGCCTGTTAACTATATTATGTATACCAACCAGGCTAAAATCCTGTCTGCAAACAAGCAAGCACAACAAATTTTCTTCAAACAGATTTCATTAAAGAAAAAAAAATCTTCATACAAAAAACGAGCTAGATTTTGAGGCACGAATTTCAATGCATAGGATCACTTTAAATTATTTCTGGGAGTGAACGCAAAATTATTCAGTAATTAATTGGTCCCAACGGTGAAAATGAAAAGATTAATAAATAAGATCTATCACAAAGCGGATTCAAATTATATAACGCACAAATCCGCATATGCTTGGATATATAGAAACATATAATTGAATAAATTTGATAAAATTGCACTTTTATTTTCTTGATTTGCTCCTTCCTTTTTCCCCTTGCAATTTCAGCTGAGCAGAACATAAAAATAAAATAAAAACGGTGTAATATTTATGTACGGATGAGCTTCACTACTAAAAAAATAAAGGATCGTGTACGCGAGAGTTCACGGATAACTGGATAAGGAGTCAGAGATTTTAATTCCATGGGAAAATAGGGAAATTTACAAAACAACCCCTACATTTAGGGTGTATTTCTATGTTTGTAAACTCAATTTATTATTTATTTTTATTTTACTTTTATAGCAAAAATATATATATATTGTAAGGTTTAATAACTTTAAAATGCATATATTACTTATTAATATATTAATATAGAATCGTTCTATTGTACTGAATAATCATTTTCACGTAACAAAATGTCATAAAATAATTTTGAAAATTTCAAACAAAAGTATTTTTTTAGTTTCTATGTTGAGAATTAGTTTTTCATGATAACAAATCAAATGAGTTTTCAACAATCGAAAAAATAATACTCAAAAACAAGTAAAAATGAAAATGAATTTAAAATTCAAAATTGAAAACTCAAACACAAATCATACGGGCCCTTAATTTTGTATATGATGATTTATTAATTAATAATTAAATATACACTACAATTTTTGTTAACTGTAACCCATTTTAATTATAATTAAGGTTCTTAAATTTTGCTCCTTTTTTGCACTTATATCTCCAATTTTTTTTGTTTATATTTTTGTATTTAACATTTAATTAATTATTACATCCAGTATTTGATAACAATATTTTATCCAAATATGATGCCAATATGGGAGAAAAAAATTTGTCAAATTTACGTAAGTATTGTTTGTCTTGCCTATTTAAAAAATGCGAATGACATAAATCTTTTTACTTCACCATCTGGAACAAGATATATTAATTAAAATAAGGTTGAGAATAAAATATAACAGAAAAGTTGAAAATACAACCACAAAAGTTAAGGACTTTCATTTTAATTATAACTTGATGTTGTTAATAAAAATTGTGGTGTACATATATTTACCCAACAAGAAACAAGTTTTGAAAAAAAAAATAATAATAATAATATAATAAAAAAATAAGTTAGTTACATTTGCAAATTTGTCATTATAAATTGTTAAACATAACAAAACATTCATAAGTGAAAATAATAATTCACAACTCTATGCGTTATATTATGTAACACTTTACATACTGTTTGTTAATGATTTTATTATTCTTTAAGATTTACTTACCAGGTGTTATGATGTTTTATTAAATATATTAACTTTTTAGATAAAAAAATAATAGAAATTAAAATTTTGAAGAATAGTAAAAAATATGTGGAGTGTTACGTAATGTTAGGGATGGACAAAAGTCCACGTCATGAACATGACCCGAATCGAGCCGAATGGTTTGACTTGGGTTTTGTTAAGTTAAATTGGGTGATGGATATTAATATCAAGAATCAAAGGAATTATTTAGTTCGATTCTCAAGCTCTGTAAATCAGAATTGAAGAATTAGACCTCCCAAAATTTGTATTATTTTTTGTAATCGAACTTGAAAGTAAATTAGCCCATGGTTACTGTTATTTTTTACTTTTTGTTTATGTATATTTGTGAATGAATTTTATTAGATAACTTGTTGTTTCTATTTTTAAATTCAAACTATTTTTGTCATTTATTAAGATAGAATGTATCATTTGTAAAGTTCTCGTGTTGCTTCAAATACTTGGAGAATGAAAATAGTTGTTGAAATTATGTGGACATTGAAAAATTTAATAGTGATACGAAATTGAATGGTTTAATTTCAAAATTAAAGTTGAACCCGACAGTTCCATTTACAAGATATCCAATAATTCTTAGTTCGATTCGATTCTTTTTAAAAACTGGATTGTGTCCATGCCTACATATATATCGTAACATATATGGTATGATTCGTTATTTTTAATTGAGAATACTTTGGTCTCTTGAGCTATTTATCTAACTACTTATAGAAATATAAATAAAATTCACTGTAGTTGCAATAGTGTTCAGACTTCTACTGTAACTAAACAGTTATTTCACTGTAAATATCAGTCATATCCATTTTTTCTTACTCAAAAGGACGGTGAAGCCATTTCCCCATGCAAACCCAGACACTAGCTTTCTTCTTCATCATCATTATTTTCTTTTTTCACTTCTTCTTCAATTCTTCTCTAATTTTTTTTATGATTAATCTCTTCGTGCAAAATTCTCGTGAATAGAGAGGTAAATCCTGGCATGCCGTTTTTCTCAGATTATGATTTTGTTTATTCAAGATTCTACGTGTAAAATTTTTGATTTCTAGTGAATAGAGAGGTATATCCTCGGTTTTATCTGATAATTATAATTTTGTTTATTAGATTCACAATTTTGGATTTTTGTGTGAATAGAGAGATATATTCTTGGTTTAATGTAAATTAAAATACTTATTAGCTTGTTAATTCATTTATATCTCTTATGTATCTCATGCATTAGCAATCTTGGCAGAAATCGTGAAGTATAGCTTCTTGTAGCAATCTTGGTGCGGAGTCCCTGCACAAACTGTGCGGGGATTTTTTGGATTTTAACACTGAATAATTTTGAAGGTATAGGCTTATCTTATCTTAATCCCTAAATTTATGTGTTAGATGTTGATAATTGTTCCGATGATGCAGTGAATAGACTTTTGATATGTGCTGTAGAAAAGAAGACTTGAATTTTAATTATTATTTTTTTTTAGAGTCAACTAGGGAAAAAATCTGCCTTTTTATTTATTTTCAACTTTTTTTGTTGTTGGACTCTTGATATGGTTTATTCATACTTTATGCATATTAAGAATGTGTGTATTTTCAATTTGTATAGGTCTTTTTATATTGAATTTTTGGTCATAACATCAACAGAAAATAGAGAGGAAAAAACAAAAACAAAAAAATGAAATATAGATTAATTTTTTAGGCTATGATTTGGCACCTGAAGCGGGAAAATGTAGGATTAAAGAAATTAGCAAGAAATCGATGAATGATTAGGTTAAGCATATAAGTTTGGTGAAAATAATTGAATTGCTCCAAGTATAAGGAGTTTTGTTATTTTAGTTAATAGTTGCAAATAGTTTTGGTTAAGTTTTTAGCTATAGGTTTAAGCACAGCATAGTAAGGAAATTGAGCAGACCATTTGAATCTCTATCTATGCTTATAGAATTCCTGTTGCTAAACTTTTTGGTAGTAATTAATTAAAAATGAGTCAGCAGCACAATATGATTATATGTAGCGTGTTTTTTCCTCAATGTTGATGACTGTACATTTCCTTTTTTAGGAAGTTATTTCCACTTTTCATCCCTTGCTTATATAAATACTAGATCCTGGCCATGCAATGCATGGCTTGAATTTTGTTTAAGGTGATATTAGTGTGGTGATTTATATTAGTATTGAATTTTTATTGTAATTCACTATTTTTAGTTTGTTTAATTTACTATACTCTAATAAAGATTTTCATGTAGAATTTTTTTAAAGCTGTTTAGATGGAAAATAGTAGTTATACTTTTCAATAGGCAAATTCGCAGTAATAATTTTGTTTTGTGCGTGAAATAGGTTTTTTAAGTGTATATGAAAACTTGGTTATTATTATTTTCTGCAAATTATGTGAAACGTTTGTGCTGTAATTATTCTCAAAGTTTATGACATTTCCCAATGAGTAGCAAAAATAAGTGCAGCAGCATATCTGTTCATAAATATATTAAAAAGTTATATTTAAGGTATAAAATGAGAAGTATAAATATGGATTTGCTTTTATTTGTCCTAAATGAGTTGGTAAGAAGTATTTCTCTACGATTTCATTTGCAGTAGTTAATAAATAAATTATACTATTATAGATTATTTAACTTAATCTTATAAACATATAGACTGCTAAAGAAATTACTATGAGGGTTGATAAAATTTTTATAAAAATTCATATGATCAATTTTTTCAGTCGTTTTATTGAATAATGATAATACATTTAACGAATATATAGATTATTTACATAGTGATTGTATTTAAAACACGTTGAATTAAACTTGTATAGAAAGAAAATTGAAATACAAATGGGATTATAATGATCACTTTCAAAAGTTGAATTAAGCTTGTAGAGAAAGAAAATTGAAATACAAATGAGATTATAATGATCACTTTCAAAAGTTAATAGCGTTATTACAAAAGGAAGAAAATGAAACATTGATAAGAAATTGTTAAAACGGCAATTCTTTGATATACTTGATATTTGAATACATGATACTTATATGATGGGTGATGAAAAGTTTTTTCTTCTTGGTTTCAACATCAATCATGATAGGGCATACCTATTAAAGCAAGAGAAAAATTATTAGCAGAAGTAGAAAGAAACAAGACTAAAGTATATGTAGAAAAAATTGAGATTGAATTAATTAATGAATATAGACATTTATTTTGGTAATGCTTTTACCTTATTATAACTTTTGCTTTACATGATGGGGACATTATTAAAAAAAAAAAAAGTTACCTTCTTTGTTATGGTTATGATAAATATGGACGGAAAAAATATTCATTTTGACAGATATCTGTGACAATTTTTCATCTGTATAAACGTATTTTCTCAGTTGAAACTGCTTCTAATGGATATCCGAAAATGAAGCATTCAATGTATTTGAGAAGAAGAACTCCAGAGTTTGGCCTACAGAAAAAATAGTTTGAAGTTATTTTATAGTAATGCTATAAATGTAAAATAAAATTGAATAGAAAAATAAATAAATATTAAAGTAAATTGTCGAGATACTTACCCATTATTTTGACAAGGTAGATACGGTATGATTTCCAATTTCATACGTTTATTTCTATGTTTTCGTAAATTTGGCTTCCCGAAGAAAATGTCAGTAGCTATTAATAATGATTGTACTACATCCAAAACTGGGGCTGCACGTAACTTGATTGCATCTAGTGTATGAATGTTGTGGCTACAATCATATACTTGAAATTTCCACTTTTCAAAATCAACAAGAAAAATAAACCAACTGTTGCCTGGATATACGACTGGAATCAATAAATAGTTGTATATTATCCAGGGTTGAGCAAATGTAGGTAATTCTCCTTTTGTGTATTGCTCTAATGCCTGGAAATTATTCACAGAAGCGATTGCTCCTTGTTTGATCGTTGTGTACCAATGAACACATTCATTCTAGAATCGAAAGTCCATGATTGCATATTCTTTGAAAACCAGGAAAGATGTATCATGAATGAGTCTTCGCAACAGCTTTAATTCTATATCAATATGCTAGTAAAAAAAATTTAAATTAGCTATATTAATAACGAAGTAAAATTAATTAAGATTGCTAAAGTTGACTTACCACAATATTTATATCTTTAATTTGATTTATTATATTTATCAGCGAATGTCTTGCGTATTGATTGCCGATTTCATCTTTCCAGTATGCACTATATAAGAAAAAATGAAATTGTTATTAAATAAGTAAAATACGAAATAGAATATTTAAGTTAACGAAGTTAAATTTAATATCTTATTCTGATGGATTTTCTTATATCCATTCTCTAATGTTTTTGTATTTGTCGATGTTATAATCTTCTAAAGTATTCGCTGCCGTTGGTGATGGAGATTGTGTCTCTTTTTGCTTACCTTTTTTTTCTTTTGTTGATCTTTCGACGTCTTCTGTAAAGTATTCGCTGCCGTTGGTGATGGAGATTGTGTCTCTTTTTGCTTACCTTTTTTTTCTTTTGTTGATCTTTCGACGTCTTCTGCATGTTCAGATGTTGAAGGCATTTCAAATTCAGCTTGATTTGTTGGAGGGGCAAATCATGTTGTACAGAGGCTACAATTGATTCCATATGTGATTTCCAGTTAGTTAACTGATTCTGCATATTTCGATTTTGTTCATCAATGTAAGACTTCATTAAATCGAAACTGGTATCCACATAAGAATGCATGTCAGATTGTATGCCCTGAAAATGTTCCTGTTGATTTTTTTGCTGCACTTCAAAAAATTATTTTTGATTGTCAAGAAGTGTCTGACAGAGAGTTTGTTGATTTTCAAGAATCGTATGAAACTGAGCTTCTTGCTTTGTTGCTTCTTGAATCATCTGTGTTTTCAAGCTGTCGTAGAAACCAAAGACATCTTGTCTATGTACATTGAACATCTGTTCCATATCTTGTTTAGTTACATAGTCTGAAGTACCGGAAAAAGTAGATTCAATTCTATTTGAACTGTGTACAGTTGTTTCTTGTGGATGTATGTTATATGCTCGAATTTGTTCTGTTGTATTTTCCAATTCACCATTGATAATGTTGTCTAGTGTACAATGTTGGTTGTCAATTGGCAGTGAAAGAGTTGTATACCAGAATGTTTCCCTTTCTGCTTCATTAGGATTTAACGTTGCAATTACTGTAATCTATAATTGTAATATTGTAATAAAATATCAGACGTATTCTCTAAAATTTATTTATAAAGAATAAAACATATATTTAATTGTATACTGAAATGAACATACCTCTTTAGTAGCTAAAAATTCTTTAATAACATTTTCCACTAATACCATTTGAGGCTGCCATTTATGCATTCGTGGACATTTTAAACTTGTACGGATACAGTGATCAAATTGTCGTCCAATTTTAGGAAAAGTTTCGTATATCCAATACTGAAATATAAGTAAAAATGAATATTAACGTTTTTACATGATTAAATTATATCGAATAGGGAATAAATGTAAGAAAAATACCTGGAATACAAGTAGATACCCATGCAATGAATATTTACATTCTGCTTGGTTATTTTGTTGCATTCTTCGTATTCTTTCAAGCTGTGATTCTTGTAATGAATATAATAGAACAAAATATGCCTTACGTCCCCATGGATACATAAGAAATTCATCAAGCTGTTCAACCATTCCAAGAGTTTTGTAATCGACGTGTCTTCTAGTTGGTTTTAAAACACATTCGACAAACATAACTAATCCCAACTTAAATTTATCTTCTCGATCTTCACATATATGAAATACTTCAGAAAGTCTTATCATAGTTATTCGTTTTGAACCATCGAAGTATTCATCTCTAAGTCGAGTATTACTAAAATTTAGATCAACAGTAGGTTCATGACATGGCAATCCAGTTATGAGACAAAATTCTTGTAGGCCAAAACGAGCTACACGATCGTCTAGTTGTACCCAAACTTCGTTATTTTTACCACAGTTTATAAGTCTCATTATGAACTCATGTGTTAACTTGCTGCTAAATTTGTCGTTTTGCTTCTTATTCATACTTCCACAAATGAATCCATGGAATGGACTACACAATAAAGAGGCTTGATCATCTGCATTTATAAGTTCTACAAAATCTTTAAAATATTGATGATTTGCAAATTGAGTAATTGTAGCAGAGAACCATTGATTTGGAGATAATATGTATTCTAGTGACATCTGCAAAAAGTAATAAAAAATTGTTTAGTAGTGAACAAATTTATTCATATACTAATTTAACATATTTTTTTAGAAACTGAGTAATTTTGTTCATGATGATGAATAACATTTTAGAAACTGCAATTTCATGAAAAAAAAATTAGTATTATATCTATACTATTTGAACCATTGTGTTTTGTGTTTGATGTGAAACTGTATATATATATTGTGATGGAAAGGATAATTGGTTACAATTGTATGAAACTTTATGATATTTTTACAATTTCATATTAGAAATATAATAGTACAATATATAAATCGAAACAACATAATTTGTACCATGATTGATATGTAGTTTGAATGAATAAAATTTGTTAACTTTAATATTTATGCAATATATTTAAAGAAAAAATTATACGAAAGTTAAAATAAATCAAATGATAGTTAATAACTATATGTGTATAAAACATAGAAAAACGAAAATTTTGATTAAGTTCATTATGTTCACATTTAGATAAAATGAATTTATATGTATAATTTAAATAAATAAAAATGAAGATATGTATGTTTGTGAAAGGGTTTATAATTAAAAAAATAATGGTATAATGTAATTGAGAATTATAGTAATTAAAAAATTAATTAATTAAAAGAAATTTTTTTTGATGTTAATAGATAATTGAAATTTTTTACATTAGACGTGGTAGTTGATCGTAGAAAAGAAATTATATTAAATGTGTTAAATTTGTATTTTTTTTGAAGTACTAAATTCGAGAAACTAAATTTGTATTTTTTTGTGAAAGGGTTTTTAACAAAAAAAATTATGGTATAATGTAATTGAGAATTATAGTAATTAAAAAATTAATTAAGTAAAAGAAACATTTTTTGATGTTAATAGATAATTGAAATTTTTTACATTAGACGTGGTAGTTGATCGTAGAAAAGAAATTATATTAAATGTGTTAAATTTGTATTTTTTTGAAGTACTAAATTCGAGAAATTAAATGTTATAATTAAAAGATTAAAAATAAATATTTAACAAGGAATGTTAAAATATATTTACCCCTCGCATTTTATTTTATTCTTGAATATGGAAATTTGATATTAAAATTCTAAATATAAAAAATGTATTTTTGAGTCGAGTTTAGGAAACGAATATTATTATTTAATGAAAGTAAAATTTTATTCTTGAATATGGAAATTTGATATTAAAATTCTAAATATAAAAAATGTATTTTTGAGTCGAATTTTGGAAAAGAATATAATTATTTAATGAAATTAAAAGGGTTACGAAAAATTTTAGGATGATTGGTTATATAATAATTTGTATTTATTGTAAAATATTTTTAATTTTATAAATAATGAAAGATGAGTTTTATATTATAATTTGTATTTATTGTAAAATGTTTTTAATTTTATAAATAATAAATTTTTGGGTATAATGTATTTTTTTTTTATTGTAACGTTTTGGAGACACTCCGCGCAGAGCGGAGCATAAAGGCGCTAAGATCGCCCTGCACAGTCGAAGCGATCTCTGCGTAGTCCGGAGCGTGGTCACTCCGAGCAGCTTGAAGTGATTCTGCCGAAGGAGTCGTGCTTTCTAAATTCAAATTTTTCATGTTTTTCGAGATATTAACAAACTTGAAGTTCAATAAAGGAGCTGTTCAACAGCTACTGATAGATTCAATATTTTTTGGCCAAATGAAAATGATTGAGATTTGCATGAATAAGTTTTAGGTTTCATTTTAGCTTTGATATTCGTATTATTGAAGAATTTGTTGGCTGATGAATTTGTATCCAAAATATTCTTTGAATTCCTCTACACTTTTTCTTATCCCAAGACATGGTGGAAGTGATGGATTGCATGCGTTCATTCGTTTGACTATACAGTGACAGACATGGTATGTTATACTATTCATGTATATAATGTAGATTAAATACTTGCAGTAAAGAAAAGTGACACATAATTTTGCATGATTTTCCTAATATAATAGAATTGATAAACCACATATTCTCTATACGATAAATATATTCGAAATTTATTTTCATTGGAAAGAAGATTACTTTTCTTCCTGATGGTTTAACTTAGTTTCCTTTTGAGAACTTTGAAAATTGAAAGAAAATGTTTTTGAGACATGTGAAATGGTAGTGAAAGGATGGTTAAATAGTTGAATATGGGTAGTTAAATGTGGGTAGGTAGTATTTTGAATATTGGTTAGTAAATGTGGATAGGTAGGTTTGGATAGTAGTTTGAATGTGGGTAGATACACGTTGTTAACTACAATGTGTGTAGTTGAAATGTACAAATGTTTCATTTGCTATTTGTTTTTTTCTCATTTTTTATTTTAATTAGAGAGAATATTTTTTTTTTGTTGGTGTTTTTTACTTATGAATTATTTTCTGTTTGTTCTGGATTTTGTAAAATCGTATTTTTTTTCGTTTATTTATATATGTAGAAGAGAAAGTTTGCATGAAAAGTAAAATTATATGTAATTGTTGATGTAAGTTTATGAAAATATTTATTGAATGAAATAATTAACGGTATAAATTAAAAAATTTGTTTAAAAGTTCATTTAAAAGCGAGGTAG